CTCTGTCTCTGTCTCTCTGTGTGTCTCTGTGTGTCTCTCTGTCTCTGTCTGTCTTTCTGTTTCTGTATCTCTGTCGCTTTCTATCAGTCAGTCAGTCGGTCTGTCTGTCTCTGTCTCTGTTTCTAACTCTGTCTTTCTCCCCCCTTCTTCTTTCTTCCCAACCACATTTGTGCTGTGCAAAGAAGATGGCCTTATTGACCTACAACAACACACCGGACCAGTTTGGCTGAAAGCTGTCCTAAGCCAAGAGGGCTTCCCCAGCAAGCACGTTCCTAAAATGACTTTGACAAATGAGATCTTAGCAGGAGTGGTTTGAGCAGGCTGGCTGTTCCGTGAAAAGCTCAAATCTTTCCGGGGAGGAGGGGGACTGTGGAAAGCCTCGTCAGCTTGATTAATCAGAGATCTAGGGCTCCCGCTGGGCCATTACTTCCTCCCCTGTTCTAATGTGGTTACGAAAGTCTCTTGCCTGCACTTAGAACATCTTGTGTCTCCCTACATTGAGGGCGTATTTGTGTCTGTGTTGGTGGGTGGAAGTAAGGGGGAGAAGGGAGAATCCTTGATGGCTTTTATAGATCTGCTTTTGTGTTTGAAACAAGCCAAGAGGGTGACTCATCTCATCCCAGGATCAAGAAGCAAACAGGGGATGGTTGTCAGGCAGGAAGATTCAAGAGCAGCTCTGGTTAAACTGATATATTTTTCATGGTTAAACTGGTGCTAAATCAGAGTCAACAGTATTCTAGAGAGGCTGGACTGAGACCGTTTGTGGGGATGTAATGATTGTAGACTGATGACTCTCTTGACTCCATCCATCCCCAGGCTCCACCTTTCCTCCTACAGTGGTTTTCTGTGTGAAGAATGGCTGTTGTGGTGATGATAATATCAAATGTCTGAGAAATCAGGAGATTGGGGCAGTTTTAGAAATGCAACTTTGGTAATCCATCACTGTCTGGCTCTGAACAAAGGTAGGATTAGCCTTCAGCCACAATAAGAATTGCCCAAAGAGCCTCTCTGGCTCATTGTATCAGCCAAACTTCAACCAAGCATAGCTCAGAGAAACTTCTAGGATTTGTACATGGCCCTCTGGGAGTCTGACACCCAATAAAATACATGTTCTTGCACAGGAACAGGAGGCTCAAATTCAAAGCCCAAGAGAAGGTATAAATACCCCTCACTCTCAACTCCATCGTGATCAGCTGCACCAGACCATGTACTTCACGGTTCTGCTTCATCATTAAACCATCTTCTGGAATGAAGCTCCTCCCTCCTGGGAATCCAGATTCCATTCCACCTCACTACCTGAAGGCAGGTCAGCAAAAACTCATCCTCTTGACTTATTTGCAGCAGAAATTGAGAGCAGGGCTTCCCTCCCTTGTACAATCCTTGCCAAACTTTGTGGAACTCAAGACATTTTCTTTCTAGTCAATCTATAGTTGCCTCTTGCCTTCCGCCCTGGCAATCTGAACAAGTCAATTGTTTCAGACAATCCATTCATTAAACCATGACATTCCAGGCATTTCTAGTTTCTTTCTCTTCTTCATCTCCCCACGGTGAGTCATTTCTTCCTTTTTCTGGCTATTAGACTGGACAAAAGGTTCAGATACCTGATAACGTTCTACAGAGGTCAGGCAAAAATGCACCCACTGTGTAGTCTGTTTTGGAAGGTCGTAGCTTGAGGGTCATGTCAACAAGCAACCACCCATTACAGTGACGGCCAACCTTTTTGACACTGAGTGCCCAAACAGGAACATGCATGCATTTGCGTGCATCTGCGCATGCGAGAGTGCCAGAGCACTGGAAACCCAAAGACCAGCTGGCCGGCATGCGCATGCCTGGTTTTCAGCCATTTGGGGCCCATTTTGTGGGCCAAAAAACGGCCTGAAAACCAGCCCAAAAATGGCCTGAAAACAGTCTGAAAACAGCCCAGAAAATGGCCTGAAGAACAGTCTGTTTTTTAGCCATTTTGGGGGCATTTTCAGCCATTGTGGGGCTGTTTTCTGGGTTGAAAAACAGCCTGAAAAAAATACTGGAAAATGGCCCCCAAACAGCCTGAAAACAGCCCAGAAAATGGCCTGAAGAGCAGCCTGTTTTTTTGCTGTTTGGGGGGGGGGGGGTTCATGCTGTTTTCTGGTGCTCCAGTGCCTATGAAGATCAGCTGGCTGGCGTGCATGTGCGCTAGAAACCAGAAGAGCAGCTGGCGATCCTGCGCATGGCTACAGAGCGGGTTCTGCGTGGCACCTCTGGCACAAGTGGCACAGGTTCTCCATCATGGACCTAGTACCCACCAAATGAACATTGAAGTCTTGTTCTGGAAGCTGCTCAAGCACTTGACGCATTACGCTTTCAGAAGAAAGAGACCCAATGGAACAAATCATTTAGTTAAGCTTCTCTGAGTCATGGATGTGCTGAGAAGAGATTCTTCTCCTTACTCCTATTTAGAACCACCTTACAATCGATAGTTGCTTTAGGGAGTTGCAAGGGATTCAGCCCTGAATTTTACTACAGCTGCGATGCTGCTATTATTGCCTTGCCATTAAAAATCCAATCGAGGGACATGTCAGCCCCAGGATGTTGAACAGACCAAGTAACATCACCGTGGAAGTCTAAAACCACTCTTATTGAGATGGACTGCAGTAACAGTGCCTTGCAATGCTGATGCCTTATCTCCCCCCACTTATATAAGTATGGTTCTACATTTAGGCAAGAAAAACAAAATGCACAGGTACTATATAGGTGGTAACTTGCTCAATGGTAGTAACTGTGAGAGGGATCTTGAAGTCCTAGTGGACAACCATTTAAATAGGAGCAGCCGTGTGCAGCAGCTGCCAAAAAAGCCAACACAGTTCTAGGCTGCATAAACAGAGGGATAGAATCAAGATCACGTGAAGTGTTGATACTGTTTTATAAGGCCTTGGTAAGGCCACACTTGGAATATTTGCATCCAGTTTTGGTTGCCACAATGTAGAAAAGATGTG